ACCTTCCCCTCTGCTGTCCACCTCTTAACAGTGGCACAGGAAGGAGCATAACCCCTTAATGTTCAACTCAATGTTCTCATGAATGGCTGTTGACCCTTTCAGCGCGGCATACAATCGTGTCCATCTTCATCAACAGAGCATATTAGTCACCTTGATGCTTGCAGAAACATGCTGCCTGTTTGTGCATTTGATTCATATGCAGCCAATGGAAGTAGTGTATATAATACAAGCGTATTGTACATCCTTCAAAACGTTTCAGCAACCTTTCGTGAAACTGGATCAGCACGAATGTTTATGCTACTACATCTTCATGAGGCAAGGGAGTTAACTGACTGTACAAGTCCACTTTCCACCCTTGCCGAACTGGGCTGGAATATATGGACTCGATCGTAGCGCCACCAGTTGCTGTTACGAGTTATGCCCCTTATATGTCCCTCCTATTGACAATCAAATTCCACCTCTCACATCACTTGCATTTGATTCAAATATAATGGCGGCGCCCAGTCAAAACGAGCTTATCTAGAGTCAAACCTGTAATGTTAAAAAACGGGTCTTACTTTGAGAAGTGCATCAAATCAGGTGAACATCTTGATAAAAAACATGAAAAGATCTGGACAACATCTGTTGACGCCGATTATATTACGCGTCACACACGCTTTCCAAATCCTGCATTCGGACGAAATCTGCACGGCAGTTTACGAACCGCAAGTCGATTTCATGACGTGATTTTGATTGGACCATGCATGGACTCGTTAGTCCAGCCAAAATATAACTCTATAATTCCACCTTAGTTCGACAAGGGTGGAAACTGGACTTTTATAGTCAGTTAACTCCCTTGCCTAGGGAAGATGATGCTACTAACGGTTTTCACAACTTTTGAGGAATGCTCTCTCCACAAGATTTCAAAGAGCGTCCTACGACTGTTGCTTCTGAGTTGTTTCACCAGTTTACGACCGCCTCCGTGGTCTAGTGGTAGAGCGTCCGGGGTTCGATCCCCGGTCGCGTCATGCCAAAAGAATTTAAAAGATGGTACTTGTTATTACCCTGTCTGGCGTTCGGCATTAAGGGGCTAAAACAAGGACTGGTCGGCTCGGAGTCAGTATACTGTGTCTGAGTGGGGTTCACCTCACCTCACCTTTGACCAGTTTACAACATTCAAGGCCTCAGTGAAGCTTTTAAAAAGTGTTGTAAATATGTGGGAGACATTTCTATATTTGACGCGTCGGCCACAAAAAATATGTCTAATGCAATTCCCTATTTTGACTTGTACCATACGTTCCAGTGTTTTTTTTGTGAACAATAGACTTGCCTTTGCATGCGTTTGTGACGTTTGGTGACCTTTCAGCGGACACCTTGTGTCATAAATATGTGTTAGGGCAAATACATCTGGGACAAATAAAAACATCAAATTGATCGGGTGGTCAGTCTCGGTGACATGGTTAATTGCAAGTCAGCCTACCCCGACAGTTGCTCACAATATCGATCACGGGATTGCCTGATCTAGACTCGATTATTTATAGGACGCCGTGACATACCTTGAATACTTGCTGTATTCAGCGCTCAACAACAAACATTCAAAAGCTAGAAACAAACAAGCGTGAGAAATCTGCTGTGCTGAATATGTCTGTGGACCCGTTAAGTTCCGGGGTAGAATAGGCAATCCATCCTTGCCGTAAACCGCGACTATGCTTGTCGTAAGAGGCGACTAACGGGATCGGGTGGTCAGGATCGCTGACTTGGTTGATGCATGTCATCGTATCCCAAATGCAAGGATCGATGTTCATGGTATCAATCACTGGATTGTCTGGTCCAGACTCGATTATTTACAGACCGCCGCCAAACGTTAAACAACAAATAAATAAATAAAATAAAGAATATGTAAATCATTACCTGCTTCCTGCCTGCATATGATTGATTACACGAAAGGTTGTCTTGAAGTATACTTGTATAAAGGACATTGTAATTTCTAGGTCATAAAACATTATTATTATCGCCATTTTATATATGAAATATTGACGACATATATATATATATATATATATATATATATATATATATGTGTGTGTGTGTGTGTGTGTGTGTGTGTGTGTGTGTGTGTGTGTGTAATTATAAGCATTTGATAATCGATCGACAGGACCAGACAAATGTTGAAACAGGCGTTCTGATGTTCAAAACACATACTGTTGTGGAGCAAAGAGTATTTCCAAACTTCCATACGACAGAGAATGAAACGGAGGATTGGCAACCACGTCTCGAGGAATAAGAGACAACTGTAGAACATAATCAGGCTGAATGTTTTCGTCGAAGAAAATAATTATCTACGTGGTACTTTCATTATTTTTTGCGGACCAAAGTAGGCGGGCAATGTTCTTTCTCTTCGTGATCAAAGCAACCAAAATCAGTTTTAATCTGTTGTAAACATTGCGTTTGTGGATTCCGTCCTTCAAGTAGATCTAAATCTCGAGACATTAGAACTTCGCCAATAAAGTAAAACATGTGACATACTGTGACGTCATGGGGAACAACGTCATAATTGAAATAATGCCATAAAGAAGTACTGCCTTCAAAATGTCGGATTTTTCTGAAATAATCAAAACTGCAATATTCCTGATACAGTCACAGAGAAGAGAAAGGGCAAAACTAATAAAACACTGACGGCTGTATGTGCTGTGATGCCGTCATCTCCATTTTGGTTATTATCAAAATCTATTTTCCGCTCACAAAACGTACTTTCACTGTGAACAAAATTGCCATCGAAATGTGATATCCATTGACTCTGATTGCGTTCACGAATAACAATGTTGACAGTACGGGGGAAAATTCAATACAGTACGAACGAGAGACATGTTTTACCTTGTGGGTTTGATCTGAAAGTATGTGTGACAAGAATATGTGCTCTGAATTAACTTGTAGACAAGATTTAACCTCTAATATGGCTGTAATTCGCCAGGATGCCGTGCCCAGTAGCATTCTTCCAGTGCAACTAAGTATAACTATAGTAATTGGGAAATGGCTTTTGGCTGATGAAGAGTAACGTAATTTTCGTTTCTTATGGATACAAGGCCATAATCGCTTGATCATATCACGGCGGTAAATTCTGCATGACAGTCATGGGCTTAACCCACAAAGTCATGACAGACGGTCCGTGCGGGGAGGTCCGCTTGTGAATGAGGACGGGAGTCGTAACGTCATGAACACCAGACATAGGGTTAAGTCCTTCCATGACACGTGGAGTTCTTGTCACAGCCGATCAGACAACCTGTCATGCAAATGTCCTGAAGCGTGAATGCAAACGATCATTTAAACGATCTCCCGTTATTTGGAAATTTTAAAATTACGAGGGTACAGAGGGAAATTTCAGGGTCTATTCGAGATTAAGATGTTTGAAATATAAGATTTTGTCAATTTCTACCTTAAAACTTCGATATATCAGAGTGAGGTTAAATGGGGTTTAACGTCGCGTTCGAGATCTTTGCACTTTTATATCGACGTGTATGTACGTGTGTATCTGTGTTTGGCTTGACTAATGGCGATTTTACAGTGCTAGCCCACTGAAATACCATGTTACAGCCCACTGTTACCGCAGTGTAACATGAATACCCCACTTAGACACAATATACTGACTCCGAGCTTACCAGCCCCTTAATGCCGAGCTCCAGGCATTAACAAGTACCGTCTTTTAACGCCATTTTGTATGACGCGGCCAGGGATCGAACCCCGGACCTTCCGCTCCCTGGGCGGACGCTCTACCACTAGACCACGGAGGCCGTCAGATATCAGGGATATGCAAGTATATGTACGTCGGCTTTCTCGGTCTCCTCCACCTTCTCTCGGTCGCGCGAGGATTCTATGATCCTGGGTTTGACATCATGAAGTCCACTGACAATGAGTCATGGTTTCTCAGCACCATCTCCATCCTCGTGTGTTATACCATCGTGGTTAACTCTTCGACATTACTTCGGGTTTCCTCCAATATCAAACTGACTCGCAGTGTTTCAACCGAAATGCATTTTAAAGCTGTGTTAAAACGAATACGCCCGTAGACATTCCCTAGGCGCGTACGTTTCTTTAAAACATATGAACAAACTTAACATGTTTTCCTTCTGTTATTCGACCCACCCTTCCATAATAACTTACCTGACCTACTACACAATATACTGATTAACCAACGAGAATTACGGATTTTCTTTCCCGAGTAAAAAATCCCCAGCCTTTGACATTTAAAAGGAGAAAAAAAAGATTAAACGTGTAGAATATCAGCCATACAGAGAAATTTATTTGAAGGTAGCCTATGACGCAATATGATAAATTTGTGACGTCATGACCAGTGCAGACGTCATGCGGCTTCAACAGCATTGAGAATCGGTAAAATGCTCTTTAGTTATTACACACTATCATTCTACCCTACAAACAATCGTGCGGAATCTGCCGTGTTGAATATGTCTGTAGCGCCGTGAAGATCCGGGGTAGAATAGGTCTTCAGCAACCCATCCTTACCGTGAAAGGCGACTATGCTTGTCGTAAGAGGCGACTAATGGTCGGATGGTCAGGATCGCTGACTTGGTTGATGCATGTGATCGTTTCCTAATTGCGTGTATCGATGCTCATGATATCAATCACTGGATTATCAGATTATAGCTGGAATATTTCTGAGTGCGGCGTTAAACAACAAACCAACAAACAAACCTTATGGCTAATATATCACGACCACACTTATAATTAGCACCACTTCAGAGAAACAATCATCTTCATCTTTCAGAGAATTATATTCGATTCTGGTTGGAGTGTGGATGTGCCAAATAAAACATATTCAGAACACAGGTGTCTTAGAATCTGTACAAGAAGAAAAAAGTGTCATCAACCTAATTGTGTTAGAAGGTCATAGAAAAAAGAAAGACGAACTTGTAACGCTGTCTTGTCCTTGTCACAGCTGGAACACGTGATCAAGGACCAGAGTCAAATAATGACAGCACCCTGGGTTGTCCTTGCGCCATCTGGGTTATTAGAAATTCATTATTTCATTACTTGGGCAGAGTATTGAACGGGCGATGAACGCTTTATTGATCTCGTGTTGGGCAGTCCGTCACAGATACCAAAGTCAGTAGCATTCGCGTCTTTGGTGGCAGAGGATAGTAGCTTCGTCCATTGCCGGAAGGATATAGACATCACGATTTGCGGATAGTCGTAAACAGGATATCACATTTGGTTAGTGTTTAATTATTCTGTAATTGTTAAGATTTTTTTCACTTTTTTTCAGCTTTTTTTCAGTGAGAAAGTGTTACATACTATCTTTCGTGATGTCTGAGATATCATCGGAAATAGTATTTCATCTGGCCATAAACGATGCATGAACTCATTTATCCCGGGGGCTACCTGTAAGGCAGGACATTCCTGCCTTTTTCGCGAACACCACGTGGCATCACTGGCATCATTTTCGGTGATGGATTCATATGGTTTTCACAGCTGTTTTGCCTTTTGCGACCAAATGAATCTGTTTCGTCGGATAATCGAGACTGGTTATTCGCTGGCGTTGACGTTTTATGCTTACTGTTACCACTAAACGTAAAGCCTTATAAATTCAGTTTTTAGAAAGGCAGTTGTAACCAATGATTTAACACAGGCGATATACGCGGGGTGGTCATATGATACTGATACAAGCGTAATCATCATTTACTTTATTATAAAGCAGAAAATATTTTCATATTTTCACCTGGAAATTAATACTTCTACACCTTTCTATGTAAACATGCTAGTTTCTTAAATCATGTATTAATATCCAAACCAAACACATTAATTTTGTTTCTTACAAGTGAGATACTCATATTGAAATGAAGAAATCGATTATCTAATGACAACTTTTCTAACTGTTCATGGTAAGAAATAGTTTACTTCACTATCCAATGATTCCACTGCTTCTGGTATAGCGTGAGTGCACTAGTGTTCATGTTTCAACTTATCAACAGGTATCGATGATGTTTAGACACTTATGAACATGGCACCATTTTCATATTTCCAACGCTACTTGGAAGTTCGGGATGCTTAGCTTAAATCCAGGTGTATAGATGTTGAGAACCAGAACAGATGGCACGTATATTCTGTGACAGATCTCATGACGATATCACTTTTGTATGAACAGATGATGTCTCCAGAGATACGTTAAATGCGACAGTTATATCGTGAGACAAAAAAAACCATATAGGAGCACAAGCTTCATCATATGAATAAGTGGTAAGTTTGGTGTGAAATAAATGGCTTGGCACGAGGACTGGCAACAGGAAACAGGCAACAAGTGGCGGGTTCTACCGGTAGAGCAGGATATGTTTATCCTTTTTGCGAACACATGGATAGTTTTCAGGAATCCATTCATATAATTTTCACAACTATTTTTCCTTTTTCGCTTCCATGGAATCTCCTTTGTCGGAAAATGAAGACTTATTATTCTTTGGCTTTAATGATTTATATAATAATTATATAAAGTTCATTTCCGTGCTTGTGTCATGGAAACCAATGATGTTTTTTCACCTTTCCTATAACATTACTTGAGTCAATAGTCCACGTGCTCTACATAATGCCTTAAGGATGTTTATATACCTTTTCTTTTTGTTTTATATTGATGATGTACGATATTAATACTTGTACTTTTACATGTAAAGGTCAGTGTACAGAAACGTATAATGTAAAGGAGGTCAAGTAATTCCACTTTAAAATAGTAAAAGTAAACAATAGTTTCCTATTAGTTTTGATGACGACATCTGCGAGTTCTGTTTTAAAATTAATCTGAGGATGACTTATATTTCACATATTCTGGTTAAAAGATAAAATTTAAGTTATTGTTCGTGTTTAGTTAGAAATACTATAAGTGAAATCATTATTAAATTAGCGCTAGCATTAATCTTTAAATGATACCCGAAGAATATTTCCTAAGGCTTATGTATATACTTTCATAATAAAACGAACAAAAGGAACGAGGAATCTAAGAACACAAAACACACTCTGACGACCCTTTTACCTGATCTTTGACATTACGAAACAAGAGAATAAAACCGAACAATTATCAACAGTGTACGTAAACGATTGTTAAAAACCCGTTTTATCGTTAGGTTCCTGAGAGATTATAATTAAAAGAATCCAACATGTATCTTAACTTCAACCAGCTTAGACCGTCTACCTCATCACGATCGCTTGCGGCAGTTTGATTGAAGTCCCATAGCTCTTAGAAATAGTCTCATAGTCAGGACAGTGATCACCGAAGTGGTTCTCACCAGAGCGCCAGAGCACACGCCTATACTCTCCCCGACTGTCTCGCCTTTCCTATCTCTTACACTGCTTTCCCTCTTCCAGGTAACGGTAAGCAACGATGGCAGTGCCAGAGCCGAGAGACTAACATCCCAGCAGCAATCCGATGGCACGTCCAGCGTTAGCGAGACATATCAGCTACAGAGACGGTGTTGAAAACTGAATTCGGACTTGTGAAATTATGGATGCTTAACAGCAGGAGGATTTAAACGCTGACTCGAACATCGTCGTTGTGTTAGAATTTCTTCTTCGCCATGGCGATGACAACGATGTCGTTCTTGATGGAGAACTTTACGGTAGGTGATGTTGTGATGTGATGTTGTTGAGTTTGTAGTTGATGGGGATGTTGAAGATACTGTTTTTATCCTATTCAGTGATGTTAATGAGCCAGCTGTTTCAAGCTACTGTCCTGATCAACAAACGTAACGTACATATATATACTTCATATGAGTGTCCTTGATTTAAAGATGATGTACGTTACAAGTGCCTGGTATACGTTATCAGTTGTCTTAACGGAAGTTTTCAGTAGCGCATTGACTCCTGGTGTCAATTATCAGACAGTGTTTCGTGGTGTATGTTCTTAATTCTTTTGTGTTACATTTATCTCGGAATCTGCTCTTTCTCTTGATCCTGAGATGCGACTAGGTATAAAGTCGTTGAATTTGAACATGATTGAACATAGATTGAATATGAAGACACGGAACTTTTCATTGATAACAACGTCTTTCTTGTATGTCACAAAATTTCAGGTCTAAACCTTGTCCCTTTATCAGGGAGTCAGAGACGCTACTTATGTAGAGATATGCACAACTGAGTTAACACGATATGATTAATGTCCAAAGAGAACAATACGACGAAGTGGACGGGCGAGTGAAGACTAGTAAGGTATTGTTTCACACAGATCTGAATAAAACCCTTAAGACATTGGTTCAGAGATCGGAATATGAAACCCTTCCTGCATATGTTGGACATCACTTCGAATATGTAATCCAGTCTTAAGCTATTGTTAAACATATTTCAAATATTGAAATATGAAAACATCTAATCTATTGCTTGATATATCTCAGTTGACACGCGATCTGAAACGTTGTTTGTTCGGTTGTTGTTTAACGCCGCACTCCAGAATCGTACAATGATTTGAGCATCAAGTAGCACTGGCGAGACAGTTCGTGATCAACCAAGTGGAGTTTTTGTTTGTTTGTTTGTTGTTTAACGCCTCACTCAGCAATATTCCAACTATATGACGCCGGTCTGTGAATAATCGAGTCTGGACCAGACAATCCAGTGATTGACATCATGAGCATCGATCTAAGCAATTGGGATCGATGACATGCACCAACCAAGTTAGCGAGCCTGACCACCCGATCCCGTTAGTCGCCTCCTACGCCTAGCATAGTCACTTTTTATGGCAAGCATGGGTTGCTGAAGACCTATTCTACCCCGGATCTTCACGAAATCTTTAAATAGTGAAACTTATATATACACCTTTTTATTATATGATACATCTTATATATATAGAACACCACTTGAAAGTTTCGCTGACTAAATGAACATTCGCTAACATGTCTACTAACGTCTTAGAACGATTACTTTTACATGTTTCCTATGTTCAGAACGAAACACTGCATGCATCTTGGCAGTTGTGACAAATGATCGCATCAAATATTTCCAAACGCTTTACTCTGCTTTCCAATTTGTAACACTTCAAACTGAATATTCAACATCAGGATCTGTATAATTGGTGCAACAGTTGATGTCTTGTCTGGCTTGGTCATTGAAGCCCCGTGTTGGGCAATACGCGAATGTACCGTTCTGGAAACACCCACAAGGAGTGGAGTATGTAGCCATCTGGTCAAAAATCGCCTGGTTCTTTTTACAATTCTCAGTGCATCCAAATATCTACATTGAATTCTTTAGTTGATATTTGATCTAAGTTCAAGAGTGGCATCAAGTTATGTGCTTGTATCGTAATTAGCAATATGTCCAGTGCAAGTGCTACCATAAACATATGATTATGTCGATGTAATATATTTGTGGTAATTTAAAAAAAAGGCAAGAAAATTGGCTTCAACGGTGATCGATCAGAAATGACTTTCATTTGTTTTTTCTTTGCGGTAATATTTTTTTGTAGAAGGTGTATCTTGCAAGCTATCACTCATGCATGTACGTCAGTGAATATGTGTTCTGTTCGCTTTTAGGAACAGTCCGTCAATACAAATGTATCATCGCTGAGGACCCCAAGAATATGTTTTAACCATTGTTCCTATTACGCCGAAAACATGCTTTGCATTTTTCAACATCATCTCCGTCCTGATTACCTACCGTAATTGCATCAATAATTGCAAAATATGCTCCGTTTTTTTGTCTGGCTTAAGGGAGTCCACCATGATGACACCCATTGCATCCCAGAACACGGAGGCAACAACCTTTCCAGCTATGTTCCAGTTTTTGCCTTCACTGGTGGTAGTGTTGTCCAATGCTTCCACTGGTTTGGTTGTCGTTTGAACCATGGTTTTATACATGGTCAAGGCTTTATACATAGGGGCTAGATTATTAACAGACATGTTGTGCCGGTTGCGTTTTTTATCAGATCTCAGAAACTTTGGAATCCAAAGAGCTGATACATTTTTCAAGTTTCTGTGATAATGGTATCTACTCTCTCCTGCGAAATGTCTTCCTAACTAGCAATGCGATTCTCATTGGCAGTAACCGCCATATCGTGGAATCTCTGGGCCATTTATGGAGCTACATTGGTCGTCTTCAAGGTTCTCCCTGCCTCGCTTTAACTCTCCCGCACACCTCTTTGCTGTGGCATAGGAAGGGGCATTCTTCCCTTGTGGTGTACTCATATCTTCATGGATGAATTTTGGTGTTAAACCCTTTTTCTACAAGTACTTGATCACTGCACGATCCTCAAATTTGTCCATTTTTCTAAAGGTCACAGACCCCTGTTTATTGTACTGACATTTTTATCAACTGACTTCTTGTGTAGATATACCTCTGTGACATCATTGTTCGCAACAAAAGAACTCAATCAACCCCGCGCAGAAACATTACCAGGGGGATACCTGACATACAGCCTCTACCTGGATCACACTGTAGATTTATCTCCTACCCAGATTTATCCACAAAGTGACGACAGACTATTTTTTCAGGTCATCCATGATGTCCAACGACCAACCACCACCCCCTCCCTACACCACACCCCACACCCGAAAATATAACATGCCGTCCCTAAAAACGCTATCGCTCATGTGACATGACTGTTGTGTTCGTCGAAGAAATCTCCTGACAGATCGCGTTTTTTGTGTGTGTTCGTTATCACAACATTCCACGTTCATGAGAACCACAACAACATGATAAACACATTAGCACGTTTTAATTTTTCCATTTGAACATCCGTTTACATGGCCACACTAAATATGAACTGAATGTCCACATGCGAACAAACACAGATAATCCATCTGCTTTAAGCTTTAGAAGTGACGCTATTTTTGCTCATTTAATCTGCTTGTTAGTCTCAGAGCGGGGGAGTGATCCTCCGGATTAGAGCCTTAGCTGCTTTGCGTGAACTCTAAGTTGTCTACAGTGTTTGGGAATTACGTTTGTAGCCGAAACAAACAGAATTATGGTGATCTCAAGACGAACTCCCCAAGGCAACTGTGTTATAGAGTGCATTCATTTGATCCGAGACTGGGATCCAGTCTACTGATATACTAGTAGCTAGTACCGCAACGGAAGCATAGTCTGACCATTTGCGTGTCACGTGCTCTCCAAGAGCCGCGGGGTTCACTTGTTTCTGGGCTGTGGGAAGAGGGGGTTGATGATGTTGTGTTTTGAGGCGATGCATGGTGCCTTGGGGATGAGTTGAGCGTCTGGTTGACGCTATATGTTGTTGGACTGTAATTACTCTTTCGCATGCAGGATTTGCGAGTTTGTTGTGTGTTTCGCTCTTTATTTATAACATTACCATATTAACCATGTTCCAATTGTGTTATCATAAGATGTCTGTTGTTTTCTGATAGCCATGTATCCTCACGTTTGCAAAAGGTATACTGATTCAATCGGTCATTTTGGGGGTCTTGAGGTATTAGGAATCACATTCAACCGTGATAAAAGAGATACATAAAGACCCATCAGCATACATTGTGTTCATTTCGTTCGCGTTACTGTTTAATTAGTACACGGCGAAGGTAGTAAACTCCGTAAATCATTACAAATGCCTTATTCAGAGAAAGTGTGTTATTTCTTTCAAACAGATACAGGACTGGTTCTAAAATGTAAGAACTCTTGGTTCCTGAACCATTTCCTGAATCATTTCATAAACTATTTCGTGAATCATTTCATGAACCATTTCGTGAATCATTTACTGAAACATTTCGTGAATCATTTCATGAACCATTTCGTGAATCATTTCATAAACTATTTCGTGAATCATTTCATGAACCATTTCGTGAATCATTTTATAAACTATTTCGTGAATCATTTCATGAACCATTTCGTGAATCATTTCCTGATGAACTCGACATTTCCTAGCATGAAACTTTTCGTATAATACAATTATCAATCAGTGGTTTGTCTGACCCAAATTCGACCACCGTGGTGTAGCTAGAAACAAAGGCGTAATGTTTATGAAAATCCGACATTGTAGTATTAGTATTTCGAATTTCGTAGTTCCAGGTAGCTTTAATACGAATAACAATGAAACTTCATTTGCATGTTATGCACATGACAGCGCTTGACAGCTTTGATCGGTCGAACAGCGATGTTGTTTTAAAACATTTCTTCAGAGCGAACTTTCAAGAATGTTTCAGTCTAAAACTTCAGTGTGTTACACTCAGGGTCTACCTTTCGCAGTGAATCATCAACTAATCGATATAATCAGAACTCCTCCACCTCCCAAAATAACACCGTCAGTAAACGCGATTGTCTCCTAATTGCGTTTTCCAGGAATATAAATAACAGGTGTAAGGCGACAACAATGTCTTGACCGGTTGATATGGCTTCTGAGAGCGCGATCTGGATCCCTACATAAATCTCTGTCTCGGATTCATGCTTCCAGTCTTGATGAAGCCTTGACACGAATATGGTTCTTTCCGCGATGTCTATCTGTGTCTATTTGAATTCACGTCATTACCCTAACCACCACCTTTCTCCTCAACAAATAAAAGCAACAACACTCTTTCCATATTCATAAGAATTCCCTGCCAAAGAAGAATCGATTGTACGATTCCGACTATATCATGAGCATGTGTTTATGATTCACTATCAAATAGTATTGATACCATGGTATTTA